GGTTTCACGCGCGTCTTAGTGGCGGAAACAAAGATTGAGCGCAGCCTGTGGAAGTTGATGGGAATTTGCTGTAGCGAGGCCAGGGTTCCGGGCAAGGTGGAAGGGCTTAAAAAAAGAAAATTGTTTCCAAAACCAGCTCCTTCTCCCCGCCTTTCCCCAAGGAAACAAGTCGCAGGGAGCCAGTGCTGATTCAGAGGTGCGGGGTGAGTCAGTGCGCGAGCTGTCAATGCGCAAATCGCCGTTATCAGCTGCAGTGTCGAGATCCGTGGTTAACGCAACAGAAATGGGCAGATTTCAACTCTGCCCTCGCCCCCGCCCCGTTCAGGAAAAAATAAGCTAACTTTATGGAGCTCCTCATATTCATTCATCTGTCCTGACACATAAAAATACTTTTATTATCTTATTTTTATGACTACAGTGACGTAATATATTGCAGGTGCATTTTTTTTTCTGAGATAAAAAATACATACGTTACTATATTCCTCTGAAATCATATAGCTCACTTTATTAGCAATATTAGTGAGTCATTAAAACTTTTATTTTATCTGTGTTGGTGCCTTAAATGTTGAAAATGAATCTGAGCCTATATCCAGTAATGTAGCTCTTAGTGTTTTGTAAGACTGAGGGACTGGCAAAGATTCTTAGATTGCAGATGGGAGAGGGTTAAAAGAATTTTTTCTGGAGTAAATAAAGCATTTTCTTGTCAAAATTAGACAATCGTATGAGTTTCCTATTAATAGGAATCATTAAACAAATGGAGATGGCCTCATTACAGGAATGTTACCATACATCATCATATTCCTGCAGTGTAATTTCTATATTATAAGTAGCGAGACCTTTGTTTAACAGACCCCTTGAGCATATGCTCAAATCCATTTTTGCTCACAAAGAGTTTTACCTATGATTGCAGTGATACTGTAACTGCATCATTGATAGTCATAGGATATTTATGTCTTTGTCATATGTAAAATCTGTAAACTGTTGGAAGGCTGTATTTGCATAGCCATGACATGATTTCGAAGGCAAAACACTTATGCTGCTGTAGAACAATGCTCCCTCATGATATTTTATATCAATGATTCTGTATCAGACCTTTTTTTCACTTAAATTATCCCCAAGAACTATTTCTGCAGAGATGGTAAGTTTCAGAATAAAACATCTCTTCAGTTTTGGGTGTTTCTTTTTTTTTTCTAGTCTAAAATTGTATCTTTCATATTTTTTTTCTCTGATCATGACTTTCCCTCTACGGTTCCCAAAACAACTAGCTGGCTGAACTAGGATTGCCCTTATTTGTTCAACTGGTTTTGAACAGCAGTTCTCAAAAATGTAGATATAAAAAGGAAATACCAAACATGCGTTTGATTTGCAGTCTTATAATTTTGGGAATTGAATTCCACCACTTAAAATTTTATGTGTAGATAAAACAGTTTGTTCTGTTCATGCGATCCATAAATTTTTAAGGCCGGAAGAGACCATTAGGACCAACTGATTTCCAGCACAGAAAAGATCAAAGACCAAATCAAGTCCATGCCTCCTGTTCAGGCCAAACGATATGTTTTAGAAAAGTAGCCTGGGTTATCTGGACCTTTGTAAAACCAGTCAAGCTACTTATTGGCTTTAGCTCATCTACTTGCCTGAGTGCATAATTTTCAACTATCTTGAAACGATTTTGGAGAATGCTTCAAAATAATTATCTGACTCTAAAACCTGTGCTAGGCGGGTGCAGGATTATTATGGCTGTGGTTGCAGATAAGCGTCCTCAGAGAATCAGTAAGGCTAAACCAGACAATTCCGCAGAGTCTCTGCTGCATTGACATAATGGAAACGCTTTGCCCATTGTCTGTGAAACGTTTGTTTTTTCAGATATGTTCTGAACACAAGCATCTTTCCAGCTACCGTAATAACCTCCTGTCCTGTGTTTTAATGTATTTTGATTGAAACATTTGGCAGGTTTCCATGGGCAAAAGTAGGGGAAGTATATCTTTTCCTCAGTAGGTTTATATGGTACTTTCTCAGAAACTTGCTTCTGACCTGCGGTTCGAGATGGTATGGACAAATTGTCAGGAATGGTGGACAGCACTTGTCTCCTGGCTGGATGAGATTGGTCAAGCAGAGATTTCAGGTGAGAACATTATTCTGGCACAGCCTGTGGGGCTAGTGGTTTTGAAAGACAACTCTTGAAAAACTAATCCCCTAGAAATCAGTCTCTGCCTTAGGCAGAAATTGCTCCCCTGACCCTGTGCCAGTGAATGATCTCAAAGTTAAGGATGCCTGCTCTCTCGCTGTGACAGCCCTTCCTAGCCCATGAGCTTTCTTGCAGCTCTAGAAAAGTGACCAAGGGTGAAGCAGCAACGCAGCTCCAGAGCAATCACCTGCCATGTGGGATGTGGAGCTCAGCCTCCAGCATGGCATTGAAAAGCTTAAAATTTCCTCTGCTAACTCATTAAAGTATGTGAGCTTCTGTGTCTGTTTCAAAAGGTTTGAGTCAGACATTGCCCCCTTAACTAACAGCAGCTGGATCATCTTAGGTTTCAGCATGGACAAACGCACAGCACAGGGAAGCACTGGATCCTATTTGCTCTTCTCTTGACAGAGTCATTTTTAATTCTGGTGCCAGGGTTTCCTGCCCCAAGATCCCCACTCTGCTGTGAGACTTGAAACAACTCCCATCCCTCCCTGATGCTCTGTGTGAAGTGTGTCAGAGCTGCCACAGGGTGCCAAGATACGTTATGGTCTTGCTCAGCTCCACACTCTGTGAACAATGTTGGAGCAGAGCAAACAGGTTTCCTCAGATGGTGCTTTCTCCTGGACATGTGCAGATGACCCCAGCATCAGGGTTACGAGGCACCTTTCAGTCATGTCAGTTGCAGTGGGATGAATCTTACGTCAGAGTGAGTTTTTGCACAATTGGAAATGTAAATCTGTTGAATTTTTAAGAATATCAACTGAAAGTACTGCTGTTAAATGAGGTACGGAAGAACTGACTTCTTCACAACCAGAGGATCCTACTCAGGAAAGTTGCTTGCCTGCCCTCACTGTTTGTCTTTCCCATAAAAGAAAAAGCTGACCCACGCATGAAGTCCTCGATGTCCGTGGACACTGTTGAGAAGTTGGGTAGCACACTATTGTAGCAAATGCCAAACTTCCCTGCTCACTCAGAGCTGTGTCCTGGCCCTTGGTGCTCCCCTGGCCACCAGAAGGGATGGCACCGCAGAGGAGTTGCTAGCACCAGTGGCTGGTACCTGTATTACACTGCACCACCGCTGCGGTGCCAAGAGCCATCTGCAGCTGGGAGTCGCACATCCAGAACGAGTGTTTTACCAGTGAAACACTGGAGATTTGGTGCTTACCGCCTTCTTTTGTATGATTTTTCCTCTGAGACCCAGTAGCTGTCTTCACTTCTGCTGAGTACCTTGAGGCATGTGTTAGGCTGGAGGCTGCCTGTGCACTTTCAAGCCTCGCTCAGGCTGACGATTTCCCAGGAAGAGGGGGCGAGAGGGAGATCTATTTCCCGTTTATACTTGGGTGTGATAGTCTGCAAAAGCTTCAGTTGCAACAGCCCCGGAATTCAAGCCCTGAGTGAATTCATCCTTACCTTTGTCCAGTGAATATGTTCATACACCACCCACCTTGGTTTTACCACCTGCCAGCTGTAAAGCAGAGTTTGCTGGCGTGCACCGTAGATTCAAACTTTATGGATTAATTCCTCCAGGTGACATTACTGATAAACACAGAGACTCGCCAGGGCAGAGCTTTGCAGCGGGGCTCTCTAACCGTCAGCTGTTTGCAGTTCATCAGGTGGCAGAGCGTGTGGAGGCGCTGGGCCAGTTTGTGATGAAGACCAGGAGGACCCTGAAGGGCCATGGAAATAAAGTTCTCTGTATGGACTGGTGCAAAGACAAGAGAAGAATTGTGAGCTCTTCCCAGGTATGTTGTTGGGCAGATCTCTTTCAAAGCTACCGTTGGGCACTATACAGATCTTTTGGCCGTGCGATGTGCTGCTCTTTGTGGATGTTACCCATGTATAGTCTAAATGTTTTCAAGATGCCCTTAGAGTAGTTCATTGGCAATGTATTTGTTGAGAGAGCACAAATCCAAGCTTTTGAGCATTGCTGCACCTGTTCTAGCTAATACTCTACATATTTTTTGTCCAGTCATATATAGATTTTCCTCGTGTTCCTTACTACAATAGAAAATAGAACTCATTTGAGGCCACTTTTATTTCCTTGTTCTTTGCAGATAAAATATTTAGTAACGATTTCAGTTTATGTGTTCAGAGAAAATAATCAGGAAAAGGGAAGGCAGGTAATGTTGATTCTCCTAGAGATTTCTGTGCATAGAAATTTCTTCTGCAGTCTGTATGTTTGGTGTGACCTTGAAAGCCTCAAACATCCTGCCAACATTACTGCATTTACTTGAGCATTTTGAGAAACAGTCCTAACACCTGCTCAAGACCAGTCCCATGAGCTGGGGGAGGTAATGAGATAATTACTTTCTAGATCCCCTGGTTCGTCCTGAGCCCAGAATGGCAGTGAGCGAGCTCATTGCATCTCACAGCTGTTCATTGACCTATATGAAATCTGTCAGTGGTCTCACTTGAGGGATAAAAATAGGCAATCTGCATTGCAAGCCACCTTCAGTTACTGTGAGTTTTTACCATTCATGGTGATCTCGGCAAAGAGAATAATTTTAAATAATTAATGTCACATTTTTTTAAAGTGGTTAAAACGTCAGTGTGTAGATCAGAAAGCTGAACAGGCAAGTTTTAATGCATTTTTGTATTTTTTACTCTATTTTAAGAACTGTAGGGAGTCCAGGTACAGCAACAATTGTTACTCAGTAATAAACATTTCACTTTCATGATATGAGGAGGATAACAATATTATGTGCATAAGGCAAAGTAGCTGGCATGAGTGTCGCTGGCATACACAGTGATTGCGTTGCTCTCTGTGGAGTGTTCTTACGATGGCTATTTAGCAGATCGTATCAACGGATAATTGAAGGTTAAGTAAGTGTAGAGAGAAGTAAAGGGAAAACTAGGAAAAGACAGGAAAGGGAAGATGAATAAACAGTGCAGTATCCGTAAATGGTCCCCATGGGTGCTGCCAGCTCGGCAAGTGATTTGTAATACAGGTCGCCTCTTGTATTTGTAAGGCCCCGTACTGAGCCGCTGGCAGATATGACTTGGGAGAGATGACCAGCTTTGCAGGTGGTGATTACAGGCTGAGAGAAACACATTGTGGCTGAAAGGAGGCGAGTGAGGGCTCCCTGGTAGCAGTTTCCTGAGGAGATGGTGCTGTCCATGGCACATGCTGCAGGTGAGCGCAGTTCTTATAAACCTGCTAAAAGGGAAAAAAACCCCAGCCTGTTCTTTTGAGCTGACATCAGTCATTTCAGTGAGGAGGAGATGCTTTTCTTCTGGTCAAAGACATAATTCACACTACCAAGGAGTGTCACCTTGGTGCTGGGCTGTGACCTTTGTGCTGTTGTTAAAATGGAGACAAAAATTTCGTGACATAGCAGACTGGGGGCTGGAAATGAACAGCAGAGTTTTCCTCAAATCTGGGAAGTGAGCTGACAGCCATGTCTCTGGAAGGCCTCAATTTCTCTCTCTGTTTGTGTGCTTTCATTTAGGATGGGAAGGTGATTGTATGGGATTCCTTCACTACCAACAAGGTAAGTGAAGCTTCAGCAAAAGTCATGTTTCTGTGCACAGGGCAAATGACAGTGGGATAAGATGGAGGGCCGTAGGGCTCACAGGTGTCGCAGGAGGCAGTGGGATGATGAGATAACTGCAAACCTCCACCAGCACCTCAAACCAAGGGGCCCAGGGCAAACCACCTCCCTTGACCTGTCTCTGAGCAAAGTCCCTGTCATGGTCTCCAGCAGGAAGCTCTGATTCAGCCTCTTTGCTGACAGGGAGGGCTCCCAGCTGGGGGCAAAGGCCAGCCAGCAAAACAGAGGCCCTCCCTGGGTAACTCCTGTACCAAGTGCCATGTGTGATCACCCTGGGATCCTTCAGCCATGGTGTTTGCTGTGAAATGGTGCTGCTGCTCCTCCAAGCCCTGCCAGAGCTGCTTTGCGGCACCCCGCTCCACACAGTGAGAAAACACAAGTTGGTTGTAACTCACTTTTACACATGCAGCAGTGGGACCTTTCACAGCACTGAGTAACCCAAATAAAACATGCTCTGTGATCAGTTTGGGGCTCATGAATAAGGTGAAAAATGTCAGGGAGGGACTAGCCATCCTCCTGCTGCTCTGCTGGATTCCACAGGGTTGTCCCAGCCTTACATGCTAGTTATGGCTGGGGGAAACACCTGCACTTTTCACTGACCCTAAGGATGTCCCACAGAAATACTGAACTTACTACTCTACACTGTTTTCCTTACACTGATTAGAGAAATAGTGACATCCCTGTTTAAAGAGATGCTGTGTTTCAGGAACACGCAGTGACGATGCCATGTACCTGGGTGATGGCATGTGCATATGCCCCATCTGGATGTGCCATTGCTTGTGGGTAAGTTCCCAGCTTCCACAGCTGCTTATACAGAGAAACTTGATTTGTAGTTGTGTCACGATGCCTTCAGATGCTGACAGCTAGAAGTTTGCATGCCTTGATTGTGGGTGGAAGAACTATGTTCAGTACCTCTGATTCGGTTCCCATAATGGCTTGTACACATTATCTCTGCTGACTTCAGTGCAATAACATTTGTTGTGTAAGCACGGAAAATAATCCTCTTTCAGCGTTTGTATCATGGGTCAGGAATCCTGCATGCATGCAGCTTCCTTGTTCCAGTTTGGATGTGTGTGTTGGATATATCTTTTAAGAGAGAGTGGTTTTAACTCTGTTCTTACTTTGCACTCTTTCTTCTACAACATGAGAAGGTTAGTCATTAATGATTACCAGCACATGAATAGATCTTGCCAAGATGGAGTGAGGACAAGTCACCCCATCCTTGATAATCTTTTCCAAGTTTTCTGAGGGCTCAGGTTTGAAAAAATTGAGTTTATGCAGAGCAGAAAACAAAGAGACAAGATGTTGGCAAAACATCTTTTAAAAAGGGACTGGGTGGATCAGACAGACAAAGCAAGCTTGGGGTGAGAGAAAGGCACAAAGGGAGACTTTCCTGTGCAGCTTGCAAATCTAGAAGGCAGCAGACTGAGACAGGCAGGCAGGCTCTGTAAATGTGTGTGGAGAGAGAGACTGGAAACTATGTTTTTGACTAAAACTTGAAGAATGGCAAGAAAGCTCCGTCTTCACACTTGTGAGAGAGACAGGAAGGGCATATACGCATTGCACTACCTAATTCTGTATTTCTGTTGTGCTGATAGTTAAGTGCTGTGCACGTAATATAAGGCATGGAACCGGCACCTGGTGCTGTGCTGGGATGCCAGGGACCAGGGCAGGGCTGATCTCCCATGGCTCTAGGAGAGGGTCAGACACAGTCAGACCCTTTAGAAAAGGGTCCTGCACCTGGCCTGGGAGAAACACCTTAGCTGGTGCAACTGCTCAGGGAGGACACACCAGCTACAGAGGTCAGTGCTTCTGTTGCCTTTTTTCCGAACTCTTCTAAAAGCCCTGTCTTCACACCCACTGCTTGCTGTACCATCTCTTCCTATGGAGCCAACAGGTCAAATTTATTAAGGTAGATAAATAACAATGCTTAGCTACTGATCCTTGCAATGACGGATGTCGACAGAAAAACAGCAGTTTGGCTGTATGTGAAACATGAACCCAGAGGTGGCTGCTGTGTCACCTCCCAGTTTATGCTTTCGTGAGATTTTATTCAGCGCCATTTATAAACTCGACGAGGGTAAAAAATACTGAGGCGCAGCTGTTCAAGTTCTGTAAAGTAGCCAGGCTGGTGAGGCAGCTGGGGCTTCCCTGCACAGGGAGATCCCGGACAGCACAATACAGGGAAGTCGGTGCTTGTAAGGGTTTGGCAGCGCAGCACTGACAGGTGGTTTCCTTCTTATCACCACTCTCCTTTTTTGTTGCAGTTTTAACCAGTTCTCCTCTCTCTGTTATTGCTGTTATTACTCTCTTCAGTGGCCTGGACAACAAGTGTTCTGTGTACCCTCTGACATTTGACAAAAATGAAAATATGGCTGCAAAGAAGAAATCGGTTGCAATGCACACAAACTACTTGTCTGCCTGCAGCTTCACTAACTCAGACATGCAGGTAAATGCATTCCCTACCCACTGCTCACCGTCCGGCAACACCTAACGGGAGCTGCACTTGTATGTGGTGCAAGTAACCTTCCTTGCACCTGGGGCACCCAGGGCCGTGTCCTGCCCCCTGCAAGGGCTGCTGGAAAACCCTCGCTGGGGGCAATGCAGCTACTGCAAAAGCTGGCGTAAGGAAATGCTTGTCCCAGCCTGTGGCCAGGTTGTCACGCCTGCACCCTGCAAAGGCCTGTCCCTTCTGCAGAGGGAGCTTGCTGGTACCTGTGTGTTCTCTGCTCACTGGGTCTGTGCTTAAAAGCTTGTGCTTTTAAGAGCTCAAACTAATACATATAGTTAAAAACCCAGATGAGACGGGACTAGGTTGGGTATGTGTTGTGCCAGCTGGTGGAGACAGTGTTGTTTGCCTGCTTTGTCTTGGACGTCCAGCCAACTTTGCTTTTGCTTTCATTCTTAGTATTTTTTGTTTGTACCAAGTGAGATGTTTGAGCTTGAGGATGGCCCCACAGGGCCCTGTTGTCCGTATGTGCAGTGGTGTGTTCACTCGAGGGAAAGGAGTGATGCTGTCCCCATCTCGCAGCGGGGGGCGTTGGAGCACAGAGGCCCTCAGTGGGAGTCAAAGGCAAAGCCAGGAACTAAGTACAGATCTTCTGAGACCAGGCCAGCCTTCCTCTGTAGTGAATATCTCAAAGATCTCTTTCTCCAGGAACGCGAAAGATGATGAAAGGAGCCAGGATAATCCCCTTGTCCTCTCTGGTTTTTGAACTTAATTGAAGCTCTGCTCAGTGCAGCTCTGCAGCAAAATAAATGGCAGAAGGGAGCATTTTCATTGCTCTTTGTGTCAGCAAAGGGGCTAGAAAGAGAATACCTTACCCCCTTCTTCCAGATATTTGGAGCTCTTCGGAAGGAAATGTCAGCTCTCATTGCTTCTATTTCAGGACATGAGATAGATGCCCAAGAGTATGTTGTTTGTGATTCTATGGTTTCTGTAATGACTGCGAGGTGCTAATTTAAGTCCATTGCCATGGAAACAAGCAGTGGAGGTACCCAGTGCTCAGGCTTCCTTAGCCCTGACCTCACTGTGCAGGAGCCCTGCGTAATTAGAGCAGTCTAAATTAAGTGGAATGGTTTTGATGAGATACACACCCACTATTCTGTTTTCTTTTCCGTACCTGTATGCATCGTGATAAAATCCTATGAAAGGAAAGTAGTTATTTGTTTTTGATAATAAAAGAAGAAAGAGAAGTTGGGTCTTTCTTTTTTCCATATTGAATACAGCAAACTGCATTGATATTGAAGGTAATGTATTACTGTTGTTAAATAATACCGCAGTGGATTTAGGTGCTTTACAGTCAGTGATACAGACGTTTTTCTGAAGACTTCAAAAAGAATTTTTCTTGTGATTGATAGGCTTATAAATGATCATTTATAGCACTGCATGGTATTATTGAAACAAATACAAGCAAGAGGGTTGGCCAGGCTTCTGTTAAGACACTGTTATATGGGGGATCCTGGAGAAGCCCAGACTTCTACCTGCTTCCCTTTTTCATACTGGCCTCAGAACTAAAATTAATTGGTAGCTCTGAGGGTGCACAGTGCAACAAGCACGCTGTGCAGGAGTTTTTCCCCTTGTGCACGAAGCAGCTCTGCTCTCACGGCTTGTGTCCCCGAGGGATGTGGTACCTGTCCTGGAGCAACCCCAGGTTGTGCTGGAGGCATCCCCCAGCCCAGCACTCCGCAGCACCCGCTGCTGGGTGCTGTGAATGCTGCTGGGTGCTGTGAATGCTGCTGGGTGCTGTGAATGCTGCTGCTCTGCCTTGGCTGCTCTCAAACTCCAGCTCAGTTTTCCCTCGGAGGAAAGAAAGACGGAGAAGGAGCTTAGGCATTGGCGTGCCCATGGGCATCTGGCAGGGCGATGGAAAGAGAGGAGGTTTGGGTTGATTTGTCATTGATGAAAGTGGCTCTCAGGCTGTGTGGGTGCTGAAAGAGGGGGTCACATCCTCGCCCCTTGCTGTGCTCCCAGCCTGGGCTGAGACGAGCGCTGAGCGGCAGCTCTGGGCGCCCTGCGTGCCTCGGTGCCCCGAATCGCTCTTGCCGGAGAGAGCCTAGGCGGGAGCCTCGCTTCCTAAATTAGGTGTGTGCGGCCCTGCGGTGTGACAGTGCTCCGTGCGTATTAACAGCAGCAGTTAATTGGGATCGCGAGGGTTTTGCACAGGGCGGGCAGCCG